TTCCCACCAGTGCCATTAGAGAGGGAGTTCCGGGATTTTGACTCTGAAGGCCGAATTCATTTCCAAGTCAGGATGGTGTGTATGTGTCTGAGGGGGTTCAGCGAGGAACCTGCGAGGAACGTGTGTGTGTGTGTCTGTGTCTGTGTAAATTGTTTTGGGGTAGGGGATGGGGAAGGTTAGCCAACCCTAAGGAAGGATAACTTGATTGTGGTGAAAGGGGAGCTATATTTGTGTGTTTTGCACTGAGTATTTGATTGAAACAGTCCAATTCTGCTCACGTCAGACGACCATTCTCTCACGTTGTTTCCTTTTTATTCTTATTTTCTGTTGCAGTTCTTTGGGAAAGCAGAATATCTCAAATATCAGCATGCTGTGAATGAGCTGGCTGCCATGTGAGTTAATTTCAGATCCCTGGCCAATCGGTTACAGTGTGCTGCCTTTTGATTTCAGCGCTAAACCCAATCCTGCACCGATCACCGCGAACACAGAACCTTTTAAAGAAGTTTGTGGCTAACAGCTGGCAAGTGCAATATCAATTGCCCATCCCTAATTGCCCCTAGAGAAGGCGGTGGTGAGGAGCCGCTGCACTGCAGTGTGGCGTAGGGACCCCCAAACGCGGTGAAGTGTGTTCTGTGCCAGTCAGAGTCAGCAATTCACTGTGCTGTCTTGTGGAATACTGCTAACTCACCTGGATAAATGCAGTTCTGACTACCCTCTGGAAACTTGGCGCCATCCAGGACAAAACAGCCCCACGCCACCAACATTTTTGACACCCTACCCGCAAACACCCACTCCGTCACCAACGCTCAGTCGCAGCAGTGCATACTACCTACAAGACGCACCGCAGCGACTCCCCCAGGCTCCGTAGACGGCACCTTCCAAACCCGGGACCACAATCTTTCCAATGACGGAGGTCAGCCTAACTGGCCTATAGTTTCCTGTCTTCTGCCTCCTTCCATTTTTAAATGGGACTGTTGCATTAGCCATTTTCCAGTCTTCTGGGTCCCTCCCTGACTTGATTCCTGAATGCCTCCCCAATCTCTTCCGCTACATCCTTCAGAACCCTGGGGTGTAGTCCGTCTGGTCCAAGTGACTTTTCGGCTTCTCCTTTAGTGATGGCCACTGCACTCACCTCTGCCCCTTGACTCTCCTTGAAGTTCTGGTATGCTGTTGCTGTCTTCCCCTGTGAAAACTGATGCAAAGCACCTATTCAGTTCCTCTGCCATTTCTTTGTTCCCCATGACAGTGTCTTCAGTCTCATTTTTTTCCAGTGGTCCAATGTCCACTCTTACTTCACTGTCTCTCTTACCTCTCTTATCTATCTCAAAATTCTTGTAATCTTTTATGTTACTAGCTAGCTTACTCTCATTTCACTTTTCTCCCCACTTATTGCAGTTGTTAAAGTTTATCCTGTGCTGATTTTTTTTTTTTTTCTTTTAAGGCTTCCCGTTAATCTTCACCACAATGTGTACTTTTTCTTTCACGCTGTCTCTGACTTCCCTTGTGCCACAGTTACCTCCCCTTATTATGTTACTTCTTCCTCGGGATGAATTTATATCCCAGAAACTCCTGCCGTTGCTGCCCCAACCATCTTCCCTGCTCGGCTCCCCTTCCAATCAACTTGGGCCAGCTCCGGCCTCATGTCTTTGTGGTTACCTTTTTTTTAAACTCAGTTGTAATACCTCTTACATCTGATTTTGGTTTCTCCCTCTCGAACTGCAGGGTGAATTCTATCATCGTGGTTGCTGCTTCCTGGGGGTTACTTCACCTCCAGGTCCCTAATTAACTCTGCCACATTATACGTCACGGAGACGAGATGAGACACGGGATGGAGCTGGAGGAACACAGCAGGCCAGGCAGCATCAGGGGAGTAGGAAAGCTGACGTTTCGGGTCGGGACGCTTCAAAAATTCTCTGAAGAAGGGTCCCGACCCGAAACGTCAACTTTCCTGCTCCTCTGATGCTGCCCGGCCTGCTGTGTACCTCCAGCTCCACACTGTTGTCTCTGACTCCAGCATCGGCAGTTCTTGCTATCTCTCTGAAATCCAGAATTGCCCGCTCCCTCGTGGCCTCCTCCACAAACCGCTCTTTTTTAAAACAAAAAAAACACCCCATCTCAGACATTGCACAAGGTCCTATTTTTTTTTGGAGATCTGCTACCAACTTGATTTTCCCAGGCTATCTGCATATTGATGCCCCTCGTGATTACTATAAGAGAAAAGGCACATACATAAGGCACTATCTCCTGATTTATTGTCTTCCCCTGGTGAATCTCCTGTGCGCACCCTCCACCCATAGGGCAGATTCAGAACTGCTCACAATACTCCAGCTGTGGCCTCTCCAAAGTCCAGTACAGCTCTAACATGACCTCCTGCTCTTATCTTTATCAGTTGTGGCATAGATTATAAGTGTTGGATGTGCCTTCTTGCCCTACATTGACCTATGCCTACCACCTTTTTGGGAACCTGTGGACAAGCATGCCACAATCCCTGTGTTCCTCTAAGCTAATCCATGTCCTGCTGTACATTGAGAGTCCCTTGCATTGTTCCTTCTTCCAAAGACATCTTGCACTCAGGTTAAAGCTGATCTGCCACTGATCTGACCAATACAGCAGAGGCAAGGTTCGTGAGAGTGGCTTCAAGGATGAAGGACATCGCTGCGGAAAGATTTTAGAGGAACCGGGATTGTCCTCCTCAGAGCAGGGAGAATGAATCGGGAGGGAGGGAGCTGGGGGAATGAGGGAGAAACCATCTTCACAGGCAGGATAGTCAATGACCGGGGTGGGGGGGCACACGGATGGAAGGGAATCAGAAAAGAAGACTTAAATTGGGTCAATATTCTCAGAACCACCCGGAGATGAAAGACTTCCTCACATTTGGGGTGGCACAGTGGCTCTGGTTAGCAGTGCTGCCTCACGGCGCCAGGGACTTGGGTTCGATTCCACCCTCCACTGTCTGTGTGGAGTTTGCACATTCTCCCTGTGTCTGCGTGGGTTTCCTCCGTGTGCTCTGGTTTCCTCCCACAGTCCAAAGCTGTGTAGGTTAGGGTGGATGGGCCGTGCTAAATTGCCCACAGTGTTCAGGTATGTGTGGATTAGGTGGGTCATCGGGGAATGAGTCTGGGTGGGATGCTCTGTGGGTCAGCGTGGACTTGTTGGGGCCGAAGGGCCTGTTTCTGCACTGTAGAGATTCTGTGATCTATGATTCTATGAACCAGAGGGAGGGAGATGGAGGTGGGGGGAGCGGTGTGCAGGTAACCGTGCGGCCTTGCCTAAGGCTTGTTCATGTTCTCTTTCTCTCGACAGCCTTCAATCCCAGAATAACCGGGGCCCAGCACAGCACCAGGCAGCGGCGAAAGAGCTGACCAACCCCCCTGAGAGCACCTCCCCCAGCACCATCCAGGTCACCTACCTGCCGTCCAACCAGAAGAGCAAGAGACCCAAACACTTCCTGGAGTTGAAGAGCTTCAAAGACAACTATAACACCCTGGAGAGCACCCTGTGAGGGGCACAGGCTGATCCCAGTGAGAGCCAATGCTGACGCCTTGGAGAGCATGCTGTGAGGGGCACAGACTGATCCCAGTATTCCCCGTGAGAGCCAATGCTGACGCTCTGGAGAGCACACTGAGGGGCACAGCAAGGGTACAAGAGTTGCCACTGCCTTGTGCACGCACGATGCAAGGGATCAGAAATGGCATAGGCTGATCCCCATTGAGAGTCATCACAGCCTGCCTAGAATATCCCCATTTACTGTTGGGTTATTTGCATTATGCAACTAGTGTTTATACTGTGTGGGGCAGTGGGTAGAATTGGTATCTGATCTCACTGTATAACATTGTGGTGTGGTATGGTGTGTGGGGGGGGGCGAAGAGAAACAGGTCTGTCACTGTATCATGCTGGAGTACAGTCCTGGTGTGTAACATGGGGGCATAGTACCAGTAGTGACAGCTCAGCCATTCATTCACTTTCATTGGGTTGAAATCCTGGAACCTGTTCCCTACCCTTCCCCCTGCTTGCACCCCAGGGTTTCGCTTTCAGCTCTGGTGACCTGTGTTTTCTGCTTTATCACTTCTCTACAACCAGCTCTCTTCCTGTTTCTGTAACCTCCAATCACCTTTGTTCTCTAATTTGCCTGACTCTTCCTCTGTCTTCAGTTCTGAAGAGGTATCACAGTGGAATTTCAACTCAGCCACATTAACCACTGCACTACAGGAACTCTGGTCGAGTTCTGAAGTTTCTCGTTCTGAAAGACCGCGACAACTTATGGTGTCAAAAAAACAAACCCTCAGCTGCCCCATTCTTGCCAGCCTGTGGAAACTGCTGGCCTTGGTCCAATTTTCATTTTAAAAGTGACAACAGCCACTGTGTACAAGACCAGGCGGAGCTTGTGTGTTTTTGTTTTATTCACCTGAACTGTATTAAGCTCAGATTCCATTCCGCAAACAAAACTACATCGAACAGTTTAAACACTGTGCTGGGAGTGCTCAAACACAGAAATAATTTAAATAAATAGAGGAATGAACTGAAATCTTGAACCAATGCTTCCGAAGCCTATTTACATTAATTGCGGATGCCTTTAGAGTGGGGCAGGCTTGAAGGTGACCCAGGTGACCTGGTCTTTATTCCACACAGTGTGACAAGCAGGGCAAGACAGTACAGGTGAGGGGGGGTTGGAGGGCCTTTTCCCTGGTGATTTTCGGTACATGCCTGGTCTCTCGATACAAACCAGCAGAGCACAGCTCCCAAGCACCAGAGAGAGAGCACGTTCGCAAATTCAGTGCTGTGGAGAATGTGCCAGAGCTCCAGGGTAAAATTCTCTCTCAAGTATCTGACCCTGGGGTGTCTCTATCCTGGGACTGTTTGATTTGGGAGTGGGGGGAGAAGAGAGACAGTGTACAGGGAGCTTTACCCTGTATCCAATCCCGTGCTGTCCTGGGAAGCGTTTGATTGGGGGTGGCGGGGGGAGAAACTGTAGCGAGAGCTTTACTTTCAGCGTATATATAAAAAAACCGGTAGAGGCAGCTTTACTCTATAATCAAACTCTGTGCTGTCCTATTCCTAGGCGTGTTCGATGATAGCATTGAAGAAGCTTCAGTGTGCGCGAAACCCTGTAACGTGTAGTGTTTGAGTAGGATTAGTCCAGCGTTCCATGAGCAATGTGTTCTGTCACTCAGCCTGAAAAACAAGCCCGGAGACATAACGCAGCATCAAGGGTTTTCCAAAGAGGGGGAATGTTTTCCTGCAATTTTCCTCTGACGTCAGTAACTGTGAGGCACCATCACGACGTTTCAAGCACTCGCACCAAGGCCTTGGGTTTTTTGCAACCCAGGGGAAGTCTCGCACTGAGAGAACAGAGGGAAAAAAAGCACACACATCAAAGAACTTTCCTTTACCTTTGGGAAAGCAGTTGTGAGGCATTACTAGGATTGGCTATGCTAAAGTGCCCATAGTGTTCAGGGGATGTGTAGCTTAGGTGGGTTATAGGGGGATGGGTCTGATTGGGCTGAACGCCCTGTTTCCACACTGTAGGGATTCTATGATGATTACAATGAGAGGCAGCTTATGAGGATCTAACTCTGTTAGGATGTCACTCTCTCTATAAATCCTGGTCTGGCCAGAGTCCTACATCACAGAAACAGGCCCTTCAGCCCAACTCCCTCATGCCGACCAGGTTTCCTAAAATGAACCATTTCCCAGATGCCTGCGTTTGGCCCATAAACCTTTCCTACCCATGTACCCGTCCAAACGTCTTTTATATGTTGCAATTGTATCAGCCTCTGGCAGCTCCTTTCATACATGCACCAGCCTCTGCGTGAAAAAGTTGCCCTTCTCATCCCTTTTAAATCTTTCCCTTCTCATCTTAAACCTATGCCTCTCTAGTTTTGGACTCCCCTACCCCAGGAGGGAAAAGACCATTGGCTATTCACCCTATCCGTGCCCCTCATGATGTTATAAACCTCTGTAAGATCACCCCTCAGCCTCTGATGCTCCAGGGGAAAATAGCCCCAGCCTATTCAGCCTCTCCTTATAGCTCAAACCCTCCAGTCCCAGTAACATCCTTGAAAATCTCTTTCACACCGTTCAGTTTAATAACATGCTTCCCAGAAGCAGGGAGACCAGAATTGCACACAGTATTCCAAAAGTGGCCTAACCAATGCCTTGTACAGCTTTAACATGACCCTCCCAACTCCTACACTCACTGACCAATAAATGCACGCATACCAAACACCTTCTTCACCGCCCTGTCTACCTGCGACTCCACTTTCAAGGAGCTATGAACCCGTACCCCTAGATCTCTCTGTTCGACAACACTCCCCAGGCAGCCTACGATGAATTGTGTGAGTCCAGCCCTGGTTTGTCTTACCAAAATGTAACCCCCTTGCATTTATCTGCGTTTAACGCCCATCAGCCATTCATTGGCCCAGTTGATTTGTTATTCGAAGGGCAGGTAAGAATGAACCCCCATTGCTACAGGGTCTAAGAGTCACGTGTAGACCCAAACCAGGTTAAGATATGAGATTTCCCTTCCCCCGAGCAGTTTTTAGAGACAATTGACAGTCATGCAGCACGCAAACTAACACTTCGGTCCAACCAGTCTACACCAACCATAATCCCAAACTCAACTAGTCCCACCTGCTTGCTCCTGGCCCATATCCCTCCAAACCTTTCCCATTCATGTACTTATCCAAATGTCTTTTAAACACTGTAACTGTACCCACATCCACAACTTCATTCCAAACATGAACCACTCTGTGTGCAAAAAAAGATTGCCTGTCATGTCTTTTTAAAATCTTTCTCCCCTTAAAAATATGCCCCCTAGTCTTGAAATCCCCCACCCTCGGGAAAAGACACCTGCCACTAACCCTATCTATACCTCTCATTATTTTATAAACCTCTATAAGGTCGCCCCACAACCTCCTACGCTCCAGCGAAAGAAGTCCCAGCCTATCCTGCCTCTCCTTATAACACAAACCCTCCATTCCCGGCAACGTCCTGGTAAATCTCCTTTGAACCTTCTCCAGTTTAATAATATCCTTCCTATAACTGCGCGACCAGAACTGGACACAGTGCTCCAGTAGAGGCCTCTCCTGTACAACCTCAACATGACGTCCCAACTCCTACACTCAAAGGTCTGAGCAATGAAGGCAAGCGCACCAAACGCCTTCTTAACCCCCCTGTCTATCTGTGACGCAAACTTCAAAGAATTGTGGACATGATCCCACGCTTTGAACCCCAGACCTTATTTTTAAAATCGATCAAAATTTCACTAGTTGGCATGGTGGGATTGGAACCTGTAACCCATGAGCGTTAACTCACTCTAATGGACTCAGCTATTGTGCCACAGGGTCCTCTCCCTAATTGTAACCGTGAGATCACGTCTCTAGCTTTCCAAGCTCCCTCCCACTGCTCTCTGTCAGAGTCACAGAGCTGTACATAACAGAAACAGACCCTTCGGCCCAACTCAGATGTCCAAAATTAATCTGGTCCCATTTGCCCTTTTCCGACAGCCGCCCCCACAACCCCCTTCCCATTTACCTGGGGGTAATCTGGGTGTCTGTGGACCCACGGCCATTAGGCTGCTCAGAGGTGGGGGAGACGCCCTGGGTTTTAACCTCATGACAGGTCATGTACTCCAGACGGTCTTGCATCGCTCGGTTCTGTGCCGGAAGAGAGAAAGAGAAAAAAAGGAGAGAGAAAATATTAGAGAGAGAGAGATGGTGGAGGCTCACCAGCGATCGGGAAAAGGCGAAGTGGGCCAAACATGGTGACAGACAGTGGCGAGAGGAACCGAGAGACTCCAAATGGGAGCGTTCCTTTGGGAGAATGTTTGTCAACCTGAGCGGTCAACTCCCTTTGCTTCCCAGGGTCCCACACTCTTCCCAACCAACCCCGGGCATCGCGGTTCCTCAAAAGATTTCGGTTTTGATTTCCCTGCGGCGTTTCATTCTGCTCTGACCGTCTTAGAGAGGGTCAGGGTTTGTGTGTCAACCTGTCCCTCGGGGCGACTTGCAACCGGCTCCTCTCTTTTTTTACACCCCACACACAAACACCCCCATCCTGACCAGCCGCCGTCACTATCGGAGCGTCAGCGCCGTCGGAACGTCAGCGCCGAGGGAGCGCCGCGCCGTCGGAGCGTCAGCGCCGAGCGAGCGCCGCG